TTTTTTTTTTTTTCAGAGACAGGGTCTCACTGGGTCACGCAGCCAGGAGTGCACTGGAGCAATCATGGCTCACTGCTGCCTCAAATGCCTAGGCTCAAGCAATCCTCCCCTCCCAGGTTCCCAAATAACTAGGACTACAGGCACATGCCACCATACCCAGCTAATCTTTTTTCTTATTTTTTGTAGAGACAGGGTTTTGCTTTGTTGCCCAGGCTGGCCTCAAACAATCCTTCCACCTCTGGCCTCCCAAAGTGTTGAGATTACAGGTGTGAGCCACAGTGCCTGGCTCACCTCCATCTTACAGAGAAAGGATCTGAGGCCCAGAAAGGCAAATCCACTTGACCAAAGTCACACAGTCAAATGCAATAGGGCCAAGTCGGGCACAGAACTTGTGTATGGCACCACTAAACTCTATAGATCTGGGTGTTTTCTAGCACCGCAGAAATCCAGCTGATGTGAAATAATAATTTTTAAATGTTAGCAGGTAACTTATTAAAACCAAAATGTTCTAGCTGGGCTCGGTGGCTCAGCCTGTAATCCTGCGCTTTGGGAGGCTGAGGTGAGTGGATTGCCTGAGCCCGCGGGTTCGAGACCCGCCTGGGCAATTTGGCAAGTCCTCATCTCTACAATAAATCAAAAAATTAGATGGGCGTGGTAGCGCGTACCTGTAGTTCCAGCTACTTGGAAGGCTGAGGTGGAAGGGTTGCTGGAGCCAAGCAGGTCGAGGCTGCGGTGGCCGGGAGCATGCCACTGCACTCCAGTCTGGGCAACAGAGTGAGACTCCAACTCAAAAAAAAAAAAAAAAACAACCAAAAAGTTCTAAACACCCCCAAGAGCAGCGATCTGTACCCCTTCATAGCAGGCTGAGTTAACTAGGCCATTTGTACTTGGACCACATTCTTCAAAAATCCAAGGTGGGTACAGTGACTCACACCTGTCATGTCAGCACTTTGGGAGTCTGAGGCAGGAGGATCACCTGAGGCTAGAAGTTCAAGACCAGTCTGGGCAACATAGTGAGACCCTGGCTCTAAAAAAAAAATTAAAACCTTAATTGGATGGGACTGGTGGTGTGCACCTGGAATCCCAGCTACTCATGAGGCTTATGTGGGAGGATGGCTTGAGCCCGGGAAATGAAGGCTACAGTGAACTATGATTGTGCCACTGCACTCCAGCCTGGGCAAAAGAGCAAGCAAGACCCTTTTTTTTTTTGAGTCGGAGTCTCACTCTGTCGCCCAGGATGGAGAGCAGCAGCATGCTCATAGTCACCGCAGCCTTGACCTGACGGGCTCAGGGAATCCTTCCACCTCAGCCTTCCAAGTAGCTTGAACTACAGGATGCGCCACCACGCCTGCCTAATTTTTCTTGATTTACTGTAGAGATGAGGTCTCTCCAAGTTGCCCACACTGGTCTCAAGCCCGAGGGCTCAGGCAATCCTTCCACTTTGGCCTCCCAAAGTGCTGGGATTATAGGCATGAGCCACCGTGCCCAGCAAAACCAATGCTCTTAACAAGCATTTTCTGCATTGCTGAATTCTACGAGGTTACACAGCTTAAAAGTGGCTGAATGGCCAGACGCCAGAGTGGGCAAGAGGAAAAGGCAAGGGGCAGAGGGATTGAGAGTAAGTAGGGAAGCCATGGAGACCCACATCCCCAATCCAGAGCTCTCAATTCCTCACTGAACAGCTTCCAACAAGAGCATTCTGGCTGGGCAAGGTGACTCACACCAGTAATCCCAGTACTTTGGGAGGCCAAGACAGGAAGACTGCTTGAGGTGACAACTTTGAGACCAGCCAGGACAACAGAGCAAGATCCTGTCTCTAATAGAAATTTTTCCTTTTTTGAGTTGGAGTCTCACTCTGTTGCCCAGTCTGGAGTGCAGTGGCACACTCATAGCCACTGCAGCCTTGACCTGCTGGGCTCAGGTGATCCTTCTGTCTCAGCCCTTCAAGTAGCTGGAACCACAGGTGTGTGCTATCATGCTCAGCTAATTTTTTTTTTTTTTTGAGCTGGAGTTTCACTCCGTTGTCCAGACTGGAGTGCAGTGGCCACTCCCGGCCACTGCAGCTTTGACCTGCTGGACTCCTGCGATCCTTCTGCCTCAGCCTTCCAAGTAGCTGGAACTACAGGCACGCACTACTATGCCCGGCTAATTTTTGATTTATTGTAGAGATGAGGTCTCACCAAGTTGCCCAGGCGGGTCACAAACCTGCGGGCTCAGGCAATCCACTCACCTCAGCCTCCCAAAGGCATGGGATTACAGGCTGAGCCACCGAGCCCAGCACAGCTAATTATTTTTTTATTGTAAAGACAAGGTCTTGCCAAATTGCCCAGACTGGTCTCTAAGCCCTGGACTCAGGTAATCCTCGCACCTCAGCCTCCCAAAATCCTGGTATTACAGGTGAGCAAAATTTTTCTTTAAAAAAAAAAAAAGCTGGGCGTGGTGGCTCACGCCTATAATCACAGCACTTTGGGAGGCCAAGGTGAGAGGATTGCCTGAGCCCACGGGTTCGAGTCCAACCTAGGCAACTTGGTGAGACTTCGTCTCTACAATAAATCAAACAATGAGCCAGGCATGGTGACACATGCCTGTAGTTCCAACTACTTGGAAGACTGAGGTGGAAGGATCACCTGAGCCCAGCAGGTTGAGGCTGCGGTGGCTGTGAGCGTGGCCCTGCACTCCAGCCTGAGCAACAGAGTGAGACTCCAAAAAAAACACACACACGCTCTGCTCAGTTCTGAGCCTGTTTCCAGCTCTGTAAAATAGGAATCACAGCAATGGCACCCCTATTAGGTAAATCTGTAATCTGAAAGAACCTTAATTCTGGATTAGTTTTGTTGATGAAAGGAACCAGCCAGGTAAATAACAGCCCCATCCACATAGACCTACTGTGTGTCAGCCACTGTACTAAGTAAGCATTTTCAACTCTTCAGGTCACTGCAACCTTCCAACAGTCTTGTTAAGAAACCATAACTCCATTTTTAGAAGGCTTAGAGAGACCAAACCATCTGCATAGGGTCACAGGTGAATGAGACAGATGGAGCCCTGCAGATGCCCACCAGAAGCCTGGGCAGGCAGGAGACAGTCGCTCAGAGGGGCCCACTGCCCAGCCCGAGGCCAGGGCAGTCCTGGCTGACCCCAAGTCCACACCTTTCCGCCACAGTAGACACAGGCAACAAGCCAGAGACAAAACAGCAAAGGAGGAAATTCATGCTGCTGGGAGCAAAACCCCAGGACTCTGGGGGAGGCGGAGGCAGAGGCAGGGCCGAGCACCAGCTGGGTGGCCTTGGATGAATCTCTCAGCTCATCTCCAAGGTGGGGATGATAAAAGAACCTCCACCCAACTCCTCATCCTGGGATTCAAGACTCAGAACCAGGCCTGATAGGTAAACATGATCCCTTCATGGCGATAACAATAACAGTGATGACACAGAGGAGGAAGATGTTATCACCCTTCACAAATGGAGTACTTCCTGGAATGGAGAAGTGGCGACCATCTGGAAGAGGAGAAAGGCAAGAGGCGGGTGGGGGGGGGGGGAGGATCAGCGTTTTCAGTGGCTGCAGGAACTGTTCTCATTCATTTGCTTCCGGAATCCTAGAACAGACTGGAGTTTGCCCGCTGAACAGATGGACACACTGAGGCTTCTCAGGGCTCTTGCCAGAGGTCTGTTCAGGCAGGAAGCCCCTTCCCAGGCTCCAAGGCGGGCCTTCAATTTACAGGCTTTAGTTGGGGGGCTGATCCCTGTGTTTCGGGGCCCTGGAGCACCCTGGCATGGGCCAGGAAAGAATCCCGGGCAACAGTTACCGCAGGGTTCCATTCCAACTAAGGGAGAAAGGGGTTCAAGCTTCACCCTTTGGGTCCCTTCTCCCTGCCACCCTCTCACCACCCCCTGCCAAAAGACCCGGGCTACACAGTTGGGAGCAGTGATGGGCAGGCACCAGGCCAGACGGACAGACAGAAAGATTCACTTGTTAGACAGGAGCCAGCGCTAACTAGGGATAAAGGTGAAGCGTCAGCCTGAGAGAACAGAACAGGGTCCAGTCAACCAGTCATTCAGACGGTAGAGGTCAGCGGGGGTCGACCCACTGAGGGACTGCTAAGTATGAAAAGTCTGTGGAGCCGGGCTCGGTGGCTCAGCCTGTAATCCCGCGCCTTTGGAAGGCTGAGGTGAGTGGATTGCCTGAGCCCGCGGGTTCGAGACCCGCCTGAGCAATTTGGCGAGACCTCATCTCTACGATAATTCAAAAAATCAGCCGGGCGTAGTAGTGCATGCCTGTAATTCCGGCTACTTGGAAGGCTGAGGCAGAAGGATCTCCGGAGCCCAGCAGGTCGAGGCTGCGGTGGCCGGGAGCGGCCACTGCCCTCCAGTCTAGGTGACAGAGTGAGACTCCAACTCAAAAAAAATTAAAAACATAAAAGTCTGTGGGGACACTGACGGGCAGCCAGACAGCAGAGGTCACCCTGGACAGCTAGTCATACAGCAGGGGGCTGCCAGGTGGGGCTGGACAGATGGACAGCCAAATGGTGGTGGTAGGAAGGCCTACCCAGGTCAGAGAGGCAGCCAGCCAGACGGCGGGGGCTGCTCCAGATTAAACGAACAGCCAGCCAGACCACAGGGGTCGCCCACTAGATAACTAGGTGGCAAGTTTTGCGCCTGATAGCCAGACAGAAGCGAAGAGGGACCAAACCTGACCCACAGGCAACCAGATGGCAGAGTTCACCCCAAAAGCTGGAACCAGACAGATGGCAGGGGTCCCGGGCACCTCCGGTGCCACGGCCCCCAGCCAGTAAGACCGCCCCCGGCACCTGGGCCGAGCCCCCAGGCCCTGCAGGAAGACCTGCGCCCGGGGCGTCTCACAGGGCCCGCCTCCCCGTCCCCGTGCCCGTCGCGGGCACGCAAGCGCCGGAGTTACGCCGGCAGCGCAGGGCGCGCCATTCCCGGTCCGCCCTCCGCGCCCTAGGCCGCCGCCCGCCGCCG